CCCACTGGAGTGGCAGTTTCTGACACCTTTTCAGGTTTAAGGGTAAAGGAGGGCTTTTAATGCAGCCTTTCTGGGGTTTGGAGTTGAAGAATACCTTCATTTAACGAATGTTGTCCAAAACACGTGTGATATTGTTACCTCTCTCCCTATGACTTTAATCCACACATGTTCTCCCACATCCACAATTTCTGAAGCGTTCTCCACCCGGGAAGCTGACATCTCACTTACATGTACCAGACCTGTGAAAGCAAAGGACAAATCTCATTTACTTAGATATCACCTAAAATACATTAATACTTTCAAAAGTCTTAAGCAAACCCTCATGTCTTTATATTTGGAACCAGACTTTCTTTTGTAATTTATAAAACAGTCTTGAGCAACAGTTCTTCAGCCTTTTCTGAAGGCCAAATGCCACATTACACAAGAAGTGGATTGAAAATCAGTTGCAACAGGTCTTATTGAGTTATGAATCCAAAATTATTATTTTTTGTTCATATCGTTGTCAATATGTACAGAGGAGGTCATGAGAAAATACAAGAGTGTCTACAGCAATCTGTAAAACATGATACCAATGCAGCAAAAGCATACCTAGATAGAAAAACTTATAATGCAACACCATTATACCAGTCATGAATTAGCCTCCCATGAGCTCAGATTTCAGCATTATTGAAACAGTGTGGGAACATCTTTACAGAAAATGGAACAAACAGCAGCCAACATCCAAAGAGGAGCTTTGAATGTCAGAAAAAGCCTGGAGAACTATTCCTGAAGACTACCTAAAGAAATTACAAGAAAGTTAGGTAACAGAGTTAAGACCATGTTGTGAAATATAAATGTTGTTATAAGAAATATTAACTTTTGAGCTCATTAGAATTGTACAAACTCTGTATTTCCATTCATGTTTGCACAGGTTTGAATAAATCACTGCACCCATTTTCCTCTTTCCTGGCAAAATATAAAGACATAAGGAGTGGCTCAAGACTTTTATACAGCACTTCATGGTGAGCATTCATGACCTACAGAAAAGGTTGACACATGAATACGTGTTGGATGACAAATGAAAACCCAAATACTAAATTAAGAATCAAACTTATTTCCGACTGTTATCAAGCTTCAATAACATTTGACCAACTAAATCATATAACTTTGGCTTAATCATTACATCTACTTCAAACCACTTTAACTGACTCTCACTTCAGAGGGACTGTAATTTAAATAAAGCATACAAGTTCTCTCCAAAACATTTTTTAGGCTACAGGTTATGAATGTGTGAGCACAAGTTGTGCGGTTCACCCTCCGGTGGTGAAAATGAACAGCTGCTGTTTAACTGGACATGTAGGTCAAGGCCAAGCCACAATAAATCATACTTCATTATCAAAGAGGTAACCCAAGTGTAAATATAGATACGAGTCATCCCACTTCATCAGCGTGTCCCACTTCTTATCAACCCCGCCCAACCATCCTCCCACACCTCCTGTCTGTACACACATCTTCAATTTCTGTTGCTATGAAGATTACACAAATGAATTATAATAGAAGAAACTATGATTGTGCTAATAAGCCAAAAAGATTTTTTTTAAACATAACAAGAATGTGAAATATCTTACTTTGACCTGTGTCTTTGAAGTCTTTCAGCCTTGTCTTCTTACGCACAGTGAGACAGTACACTAATTCAATTCAATTCAATTTTATTTATATAGCACCAAATCATACCAGCAGTCACCTCAAGGTACTTTGTATTGTAAATGGTAAATGGACTGATTCTTATATAGCGCTTTTCTACTCTCCAGGAGTACTCAAAGCGCTGTATACAACATGCCACATTCAGCCAATCACACCCATTCTCCCAAGCACTGACTCTAAACTGAGTGCTTTTATAACAACATTCACATGCCGATGGATGCATTGGAGAGCAGCTTGGGGTTAGTATCTTGCCCAAGGATACTTGGCATGCAAATTGGAGGAGCCAGGGATCGAACCACCAACCTTCCGATCAGTAGATGACCTGTGAGCTACAGTCACCCATTGTAAAGTAAAGACGCTACAATAATTAGGGCAGACTTACCTACTATACTTACATGTATGTCCTTTTTGAAGGGTTTTGTTGTTTTCAGGTTTATTTACATAGTACCAATTCACAACAACAAGTATAGTATAACAGTATAAAGTGTTTTGTTTGACTCAAGACACTTTGTACTGTAAGGTACCTGCAATTTTAAGGGAAAAACTCCAATAATATGACTGTCCCCTATGAGCAAGCACATGGTAACAGTAGGAAGGAAGAACTCCCCTTTAACAGGAAGAGATCTCCAGACAAAACAACACTTTGTTTTTTTTCTTCTTCAACCTATTTTTCTTTATTTTTCATCTGAATAATCAAATCTTTTCACTGACCTTCCTTCCTGTATCCCGGCAGTCGAACAAATGCTCCATAAGTTTGTACTGAAACCACCTCTCCTTTGGCAATGCTGTACAGTGGTGGCAAACCATCCAGCCCAGCCGGCTCTGATGGTCGGCGGTCACGGTCGGACATCGTCTCAAAACAGCCACGGTTACCAATAACTGAATCTTGCGCTTGGATTCCCACAATCCCTGAAATGGCAGATCAGATGCATTTATGCTCTCTGTTTTAATCTTAGTGAGTTTAAACTCTGTTAGCTCAGAATAAACTAATTCTAATTTGTTTATTTGTAGGTCACATTCTTACATGGTGGGTACTTTTGCATTGTTTTTGAATTTATACATCAGTTTTCTAGTCTTTATGACCACTTTAGACTACAAGCACATTTTAACTATACACGCATGCAGCACTTTTAAGCACTTTATTCACCTAACATCCACAGCCAATTTAGAATCACATAGCATGTATGTCTTTGGAGTGTGGCCAGAAGCCCATGTACCTAGAGGAAACTTCACACCAAAAGGCCACTGACAGGTTCTGACACAGGAACTTTCCTGGTGTAAGGCAACGGTTCTAACTACCCCATGATCATGGCATCCTATTTCAGATCTTGTGTCTGTGCCAAGGCACCCTCTGACCTCTGTATGACCTCAATATATAAATACTTCTATGCCAATTTATTATTCCATGCATGGGATGTACCATTTTAAAATTCCCTAAAACCAACATTTTCTGTTATTTGAACCACACCGATGAATCTAAAATCCATCTGAATAAATACGACCTAGAACAGCCTCATTGTACAAACACTATGAATTTTTAAACATTTTCATTTTCGTGTATTTTGGGTCACTTTAGGAAAAGTCATGAAATTTCATGCTAAAACAAAGACATTTTTTACTGAAGTTAAATGTCAACACAGTTCATTTGATCCTAACAGTATACAAAAGCTAAATCTAAAAAGAGATTGATTTAATTTATTATGTTCACTGATTATTTTACCCCCACTCGCATACTGACTTGCTATTCAGCCGTGTCATATTTTTGTACCCGAAACTGATTTTTATGAGCTTCACAGCTGTGTGTTGGATCTCTTGGATAGCAATAAAAACCTATTAGACTCACTTTTTATCTCAAACACAAAAGCTGAATGGAACAGCAGCTCCTCGGCTAATGTTAGCCACACTAAAGAGCTATAATAAATGAATAAACAGATATTGAATAAATAAAATATGAACAAGAAAATGGGCCCGCGCCTGCTTAACGTTCTAGTTTATAATAAAAAATAAACATAACCTCATGTAGCAATATTTCAGAGAAAATAATTTTAAAATGATATCAGCGTTACCTTTCGGATTGATACGGTGGTTATTTTACATCCGGTTCAAAACGTTTCAACAACAAGCGAAGCGGCTAATCTGCTGCTCACAATCAGCCAACCATTTTAGCTGTTGCAAACCTCGACCAATAGTATTCCTCGCGCTCACAGGAAGTACTTCTTCTGTGTTGATACGTTGGTGCTACTTCCTCCGACGTCTCGTATGAAAGACGTCCATTCATTTTTTGTAAATTGTAGCGTTAAAGCTTTAGATTTTTGCGGATTTTTGTCCTGTAAAGATGATTGAGCCTATGAAGAGAGCGGCAGACATGGCGGTGGTTCCTTCCGCCGTGAAGCGGCCCCGGACGGAGCTGATAGCGGCGGCGCAGTCTCAGCAACTCGTGGCCACGGTACGGAGGGTAGCTGTTACTACAACCGGGAGGGGTGGCTACTGAAGTAGACTCAAACACTTAGAACAAGTAACCACACTATACTGTGTACGCTTTGTGATTAATTATATATAAAGCCGCCTGGGAAAAAAAGTCACATTTTCCCTTTGTGGTGATTTTAGGTTCATTATCTGGGCTGCCAGCGAGACAGATAAACATGAAAATAAAATTAGCACAGCATTAGCTCTCACTTTGATGCTTTTTACAATGTCTCCTACACCCATCTGGATTTGGGTAAACGATTGTTGTTTACAAAGAGTTTTTAAAGCGATCACAAAAATGTTTTTTTGTGTTCTGGTTTAATGTTTTATCTTTTAAGGATAGAAACTCTCAGCACCATTGATAATACCAGCTCCAAAATAACGGGGGTCGGGCAAAGAGATTTGTGTTCACACTGAGAAACTCGGGTGATAAAGAAAGTAAAAGACATTATCAACTATCTTGACCACCATTTCTATTCTGAATTCAGGAAGTTACTCCCAGGTAACCCCTACTTTGTATCTCAGTGTAGAACAAATAGATACTTAAAGTCTTTTATTCCTTTGGCTGTTAACTCTGACATTTCGACTATTCAAGGTGGGGGTAGGATTATGTCAGGGTTCGGCTCTGTGCCCCTTTCTTGTTTGCAGTCTTGATGGAGAGGCTGAAAGATGAGGCCAGGCAAAAGTGCTGGTAGACTATGATGTCTGCAGCCGATCTGTAGTGAGAGGAGGGAGCAGGGGGAAGAGAGCCTGGTGAGGTGGAGGGTATATGAGTTTACATAAATGGGTTCAAACATCCAAAGCAACGGACGGGGCATTAGATAAGGGAAGAAGAGAGTACAGCCAGGATGCAGTCCATGGATTGTGGAAGAGCAGCTACAGGAGTGAAAGGGAAGATGGTAATGAGACCTGCTGTATGTATGGTTTGGATGGTGTATCATGGCTCTGACAAATTGAAAACATTCAGATTTACATTGGGAAGGACCCGAATGGACAATACTAAAGATGCATGCAAAGTTTCATCAGAGGGACATTGCAGATTGAGCAGTTAGAGAGAGGACTGAGATGGTTTGGACATGTGGAGAGGAGGGATAGTGGATGGGATGTTGAAGATGGAGGAAATGAGGAGGACCTCACAGAAGATCCTTTGATGTAGTGAAGGATGTCATGCAGAGGGTTGGTGTGAGAGAGGAGGATGCTTGAGATGGAGGTAGATGATCTTTGCAGATTGTCTTTATTCGCATTAAAACACCAGCATTTCATTAAATATGACCTTGACATTTGTTTTTGAGACTATTATATAAAAAAACAAAACAACACTTTGACCCACTTTCACAGTCCATATCTGATTTTATAGTAAATTATAAATACAAGCTAAAAATATCCAGTATGATTAAACTGGATAAGTTACCTGAATATTTATAAACAAGATACTCAAACCTTTATTCGTCTGCCTCCAGATGTATCAGTTCTTTGTCCAATGGTTCTACCCTCCCAGGTCACCTGCCAGGACACGTTTCTATACCAACAGCTGCCTTTGATCCCGGCTTTTGTTCCCACAAAGAAAACTGATCAGGAATCAAGAAAGAATTGATAATGGGGAAACATTGTATTAGTTATTGTTTAAAGTGTTACCATATAAGTTAAAACCCATGCCACTGACAGTACTGCAAGGTCCTCTTGTCATAGCCTCACATCAGTACATTTTTTCTGAAATTCCCTCCTTAACCTCAACCTCTGTATTAACCACGTATATGTCTCCCATAGGGCCCCCCACGGACCTCCAGCCTCCAGGCTCCCATCATGCTAATGTCTGGCCACGAGGGTGAGGTGTACTGCTGCAAGTTTCACCCCAATGGAGCCACCCTTGCCTCTTCAGGATTTGACAGACTCATATGTAAGTTAGTTAAACTCCCAATAAATCTCTGCAGTGAGGCAACAACTTCTTCACTGTGAATAACTTGGTGTGTACCGGTGTTTTGGGTTTTTTTGCTGCAGTGCTCTGGAACGTGTATGGAGATTGTGAAAATTACGCCACGCTGAAGGGACACAGTGGAGCAGTGATGGAGCTGCACTACAACACAGATGGCAGGTAAGTAGGTGTAGATCTTTAGCAAAGGACACATGCAATCAGTACTTCCTATTAAGGGCTTAATAACCCTGTGCTCTTTATAAAGGGTTAACTAACTGTTATTTCCTGCTATGTAATTTCAGCATGCTGTTCTCAGCCAGCACAGACAAAACTGTAGGTGTTTGGGATAGTGAAACGGGCGAGAGGATCAAGCGCTTGAAGGGCCACACTTCCTTCGTTAATACATGCTACCCAGCTCGCCGTGGACCCCAACTCATCTGCACCGGCAGTGACGACGGGACAGTGAAGGTGAGTTTTCCAGCTTTATTTTTATCCACATCTTTAGGTTTGGATGCCACATTTTTGGCCCACAGAATTAAACACGAAGGTCTGATTGTGCTTTCTGTTTGATGTCACTGTCTGCTCTGTAGCTCTGGGACATCCGTAAAAAAGGAGCCATCCACACTTTCCAGAACACCTACCAGGTGCTGGCTGTGACTTTCAACGACACCAGCGATCAGATCCTGTCAGGAGGCATCGACAATGACATCAAGGTAGAATGACGCTGGAAACACGTTACTGCTGATGGAACTTCTTGTCCATGTTCTTTCGAGGAAATCCTGAAAAACTAGATTGTTTATGCTGTGGATTTTATTAACACAGCATACATAGTGTATTAGTGAAATTAAATTTCGGCAGGGCCAATTTTTCACTTCATGGCGCCGCTTTAATTTCAAATAATTATTTTGGACGCCTGTGGCCAAAGAAGGCAAAAAGATGGAATTTGATTAGCAGAAGCGAGCAGGACCTATGGACTCAGCACAGCTTGCCAGAGTGGGCTGTTTATCGTTGCCACCTATCAAAGTGTTACATGCTTGACGGGTAAATAAAGCTGTAATAGGTTTTCATACATAACTATTTTCAATTATTCCTGAGAGCACTGTGTCGTTTTGGAAGAGAGGGAGCCTCTAGTCATGTTTAAGAACACAAGACTGAAATGTGAAACTAAGGTTTTACATGTAGTCCATGCACAGTTTAGAATGTATCCAGGACAAATTACTATAATTTGGTTTTTTTTAATAATTTCCCAGTGGTTGTGGCTCTTAAATTCTGGAACAACATGAACAAAGGATTGCGTGAATATTTTTGGTTTTATCTTAGTTTGGAGCGGTTTGATGCTAACGTGTAGCTCAGCGCTGGTTATTTTTCATTTAAATACAAGTGAAAAAGTTGTTTCTACTCTGTGTTTAGCCACTGTTGGGACGCTGTTTCCCTGAGGTACTGCAAAGACCATAAAGCAGTGAATCATTTTTTACTTTTGCACCTCTTATAAAATGTTCGAGAATGACTTTGCATGACTTTTCTGCAGGAACCCTGCCCAAAGTTATTGATTGTGTTGTTGCAGGTGTGGGATCTGAGGCAGAATAAGCTGATCTATAACATGCACGGACACGGTGACTCAGTGACTGGGCTCAGCCTGAGCTCCGAGGGGTCATACCTTCTCTCAAACTCCATGGATAACACAGGTACTATCAGACATGTTTGGCTCATAAACGTGGTTGGCTGTATGGGTGAATCCTGTTCTTGAAGTCTATCTGTGTCTCTGTGTAGTGCGTATTTGGGATGTTCGACCATTTGCTCCCAAGGAAAGATGTGTGAAGATTTTCCAGGGCAACGTTCACAACTTTGAAAAGGTAAGTTATATCCCTCTTCATTGAAGTGACAAACAGCTGGAGTCCTGCAAGCGTTTTCGTCTTTCACCTCAGCAGCTCACACATGTAATGCTTTGTTTCTAATTCATCTTTTCCTGTCATCCAGAACCTGCTGAGGTGCTCCTGGTCTACTGATGGCAGTAAGATAGCTGCAGGCTCGGCCGACAGGTGAGAAGCAAACACACCGACTTATACTGTACATGAATATGAGCTCGCACACAAACACAAAGGACAAAGGGCTCAAGTCACCTTCAGGTTAGCTGCTTTACTCTGAGTGCACCATTGAATCTGTATTTCTGAAAGGAAACTCTGTCCCGTTGCATCCTGCAAAGGACATAATTAAGAAAGATGCAGTGATGAAAATGTGATTTCTTAACCAGCTGACTTGTTAACAGTAAAAATAAGATCAGATTAGATGTTTATATTAACGAGCAGATGACCAGGTGTACCTAATGAAGTGGTGAGTGACTGTATGACATATATAGTTTTTAACGATATGGCGATTTCAAATGTAAACACCTTTTTTTTTCTGCATCATGTTTTACAGGTTTGTGTATATTTGGGACACCACATCACGCAGGATCCTGTACAAACTGCCGGGCCACGCAGGCTCGGTCAACGAAGTAGTCTTCCACCCAGAGGAGCCTATAGGTGAGTGAACTAACTGCATCGGTTAAGGTGTATTTCAGGCCTAAAAAACACTTTTTTAATTAACACAAGAATTAATTAAGATAACTTGAAGGCACATTGGGATAG